CCCCCGCTTGTAGGGCCCGAGTCAGCGCTCCCAGTCACTTCTCTGGGTTCTCTTTTCCTCTTCCCTACACATTTCCTCTTTCTTTGCATCTTTGTTTTTCTTACATTTTCTTTCCTTCTCTTTTCCCTTTTCTTTCTTTTTTCCCCCCACTTTTCCTCCTGTTCTTTCCTCTGTTCTAGTCCTTGAGCTTTCATTTATGGCCATCCCCTGATTTCGTTCACCTTCCTCCCCGCGTGCCAACCTTTGCCCTCGATTTTTGACTTTTCCTAGCAGTGCGACACGGGATGGGGGCGCGCAATCGGACGCATCAAAAACCGGGAATGGCTCTAAACCTTCTGCACTTGAACTCTGAGACAACACATTTCAGTTTTCTAAGCTTCCTAGTGTCTAAGAGGCAGTTGAGGAGCTTTGCTTCTTGGGAGAGAAAAAGCGCTCTCTCCGCCCGCCTCCTACCCTTCATATCGGGCAAAATTCTTTGGCTGTTGGCAGGAGGCATAGCCTTGCCGCCGGCTGGGGAACTAGCGGCCAGGATACAGCACCACTCCCAAAGCCCATCTGCCTTGGTGTTGGCGCAGGGACTTTCTGATTTGTCTTGACTAGAACAGCTGGCTTTGGCCAGCTCCGTTCTCAGTATCTACAGCAAGGGGAGGATGCAAGGAGGAAGGTTGGTAGATTCATATTCACCGCTTTGGGAGGACGAGAGAGGAGAGAGGAGAGATAGCGGAAAGCATACTGCCTCACGCGCCAGCCGCCCTTGCCCGGCTTCTAGTGTTGACTGGGATTTGCTGGGGTGAGAGGGGAGTCTGGCAGAGGCTAAGAGCTCAGAAATTAAGATGCAGGTTAGTTAATACATCTCAGCTGTAGGCTGCAAGCTCCGCCTTTGCATTAAGCGGGCGTTGATTGTGTGCGCTTAGCCGGGTGACGGGGAGGGCTGGCTGCCCACGGGAGGGGACGGGTCGACGCGCGGGTTACATTGTTCTGCAGCGGGCTCGGCTCTTTGTGCCTCCTCTAGCGGCCAAGCTGCGAGGTACAACCCTCTATTGTTCTAGGAGCACAGAAACCTCCCCTGTGGGCGGCGGGTGCAAGAGCAAGGGCTAAAGACGCGGCAGTAGCTTCGACTGGTACATAGTGTGCGCTCTGCGCGCATGGCTACTGCTCTGCCCCCGGTACTGAGCCACGGACCCAGAGGTGGGTCCAAAGTGTCCAGATCCCCAACTGAGGAGGACACACAATATCTTACTGCAAGCCGGGATAGAAGGCTTCTCTCACCGTGTGTGTGTGTGTGTGTGTGTGTGTGTGTGTGTGTGTGTGTGTGTGTGTGTGTGTGTAGGGGGCTGGTTCAGTACTGGCTGTGCTGGGAAAGAACAATTCACAGTGGCATTGATTTACGTAGCCCAAAGGTCTTTTGCAAACCAGAAGCACACCAAGCGCTTCCAGAGCTGCGAGCTCAGGCTCAGGCTTCCACTCTGCTCCCCGGAGCTTTTCTTGCCTCGCTGAACCCGCACAGGGCTGTGGGATATGACAGACAGCATATGCACTCTAACTTTGTGAGGGGGCGTTTCCGTTCTGACAGCCTTTCTCCTTGGCCCACTGTTGAGGGATTTTGATCTCCACTCAGTAAGCACCCCTCAGTGATTGAAGAAGGTGAAGACCATCTTTCTGCCAAAGACCTTTCCCAAATCTGTGGCTGCCAATACTTTTAAGTTGATTTAGAAGTCTCCTGCGCTCGCTCTCGCTCTCTCTCTCTCTGTCTCTCTCTCTCTCTCTCTCTCTCTCTCTCTCTCTCTCTCTCTGTCTTCATCCTCTCCTACGGTCGTCACAGATTTGTTCTTGGTTCCTGGCAAAGATAAAGCCAACTGAGGAGAGAGTATGGAAGTGAAATAGGCTGACACTGACAATTCAATGTAGTACTGCTCCTCTTTGTTTTAGAAACCCCCCCCCCCAACCGCCACAGGCCTTTTTAGGCCAGCTCCAGCCCCGCTGGCTGGTTTTCCCGCACACCAGGAGCCAGAAAGAACTTGCAGCTGCTCTGGGGGGTACAGTTAAAGGCAGAATGACAGCTATTCTACTCCACCCGATCTCTCAGAGCGCTGCCGCCCCCTCATGCCTGTCACGCAAAGGCGCAAAGGACATGGCTTTTGAAAACATGTGCCTTCTGCCTGTATAAGTCCAAAAGCAATGTGGAAAGTGATTGTTTACTATTAGGTTGCACAATGACCTTGAGCATTGGTGGGGTGGGTGATGAAGCATGTAGCATCCAGAGAGTTCTAGAGGCAACTCCACAGGGCAGGCGTCCAAAAGCATTGCCCACATGCCAGGCTTTTCTGGAGGAGGCAAAACGCCTCCTCCCGGGAGCAGACAGTGCGGCTGAGGACTCCGCTTTGCTCAAGCATTCAAATGTGTGTCTGTTTTATTACCCTGGGTTGAAAAGGGACAAGAGCTTTAGCCTTTTTATCTGGCCATTTTATCAGCAACTACAAGTGTGTTGAGTGGTTATTATTACACAGAAGGCTTTTCAGTTTGGGGTCAGTAGATCAGTCTCTTCAGAAAGTGACGCAGAAACTTGACTGGTAAGTAGGTATTGTGTGCTCAGGAGGACTAAGGTACAGGAGCAAATGGAGAAGAAAGGCAGAGGCCTTTTCCTCCAGGGCTATGCATCGAAATCCCTACCGGCAGCCACCAGGGCCCAGCCCAGGGGTAAACAGGGCCATGCCCTGTTTACCTGCCCAGCCCCCATTTTGCTCAGACCTGTCTTTCCTTTTACTTCCTTTCCTTTTTCTCACTTTGGGTTCCTCTGGGTCCTGCTAGAGTTCCCAGCAGACAGGGATTGAGGGGCCTCGGAGTCAAGAAGTCTGATTCGGCCAGTGCTGTCAAATCCTACCCTTCGGCCAAGCACCTTACTTCCAACAGTACCAAGGCAGGTGTCTCCTGTCCTGCGTTTCCGGTTGTATCCCACTGCTTCAGGCTAGCCAAGCCCGGAGTGGCACTTTAAAGGGGGAGGGAGAAGACTGGGGAAACTCAGAGTTCTGACACCAGATTTCTGAGAAATGAACCCCAAATGCATAATTTCCTTCAGAAAAAGCAGCCAGGGCAGCCGTTATTTGGAAGCCCACCCATTGGGACTTCTGGGGTTCCCAAGGTGGACAGGTTTTTATTAGCCTGGCAAGAGGCGGCAAGAACAGAGTCCTGCAGATTCAAGCAGACAAGTCCAGCTTTGAGCCCGAGAGGTCTCTGCACTAAGCACAAATGAGAGCAAGGAGGAACCCAGTGAATCCAAGCAAGAACCTAAAGGTGTGCCCCATGAAGCCCCCCACACTCACTGCTGAGGTTTCCACTCCCTCCCGTGAGGCCTAACTCGCTGGTGGCCTGCTTGGAGCCGGCTTTCCATCTCCACCGCTGACAGACCTGCAGCTTTCTGGAGGAAGTAGGTCTCAGGGCCAGGCTGCCAGTCTACTCAGACGCTGAAGGCCCTGAACTAATCCAAGATGTCCCACCTGCCGCCTGCCTCTGTGGAGCTTGGCCAGCCTGGGCAGTGTGCTGTAGCTCCGGGCAGGGGCACTGCATTCATGCCTGCTCCCTGCTGCGCTGGGGATGTCCTTGGCTAGGTTGGGCCCCCCGCTGTCTCCAAAGCCAAGAGATAAATTAGGGGACTTCCTTTGTAGCACACCCCCATCCCCACCCATCTCTTGCTTTTCAGGCACCGGGCCCAGCCCACCTCTCCCTGCTGTTTAGTCCGGGATCTCGGCTGGAGAGGCCTAAGGCAACCCTCGCTGTAAGGAACAGACGACATGATATGTATGCCGGATTAATAATTGAAAAGCCTGCTACCTTCCTTGCTTGGTCAGGTCCCGGTGTGGTGCGGTGCGGTGCGGTGCGGTGCAGTGTGGTGCAGGCGGGAGAATGTCTTCCTAACAAGTGTTTGGGTGGATGGGAGTGGGCGGCCTAGGAGGGACAAGAGGAAGGGAGGGAGCCAAGGTGAGAAACATACCAGGATGCTGGGCGCCCTCCACTCTAGAGGCCACACATTTATTTTTATTCCAGCCTTTCCACTGTGGTTCTGTCACTTTCTCAAACAAATGTGTATATGGAGGGAGATCGATGCTGATAATGTTTAGAAGATTAAAAGAGCATTAATGCTGGCAACAATAACGTAAACGTGTAGACCCAGATTTCATTGATCTGGAACTTGATCCGGCGCGTTTCCAGTAAGTCCGACGGCCCACTCTTCCCAGCAGAGAGCTCACCAGCGCCCAGGCTCCCAGCGGCGCTGCGCTTGGCCCAGCCGCTTTCCCCGCTGGGGCGGGCTTTCAGGTCTGACCGAAACTCCTCCCCAGCGCAGTCCTAGCCAGCTCCTTCCTCACCAGGGTTTTCTCCTCTCACGGGACTTCCAGCCCTCTGCCCCAGCTCGCGTGGGCACACTGCTCCCCAATTTCTGACGACCTTTGAGGTGATGCTGCCGAGACACTGCACAGAAGGGCTCCCAGCTCACCTGTCTTTGCCTGTCCTCATCTCCATGACACACCTGGTTTGACAGGCCTCACCCGACTTCTTTTTTCTAAACCCTTCTGGAAAGCCCCGATGATTTCGAAGTTCAGTCTCAATATTGGAGAATGACCAAGTTTGGAGATGACTTGTTTAAAGTTGCCTGACAAATCATCTGATCCCCTCTATACATATGGGTTCCTGTATTAAAAGTCCCACTTGAAGACTTCTTTCTGGGACGCAATAATTGGGCAATCCAATGCTGCCCAGTAACAAAAGCCAGGACTTTATCCCTCAGAATAGTCAGCTCTGTTTTGGGCAAATTGGGTAAACCTGGGAAGAATCTTGTCTCCAGCCTCAGCTAGGGCAGGATGAAAGGGAAAGCCAACCCTGCCCCTTCCCTGCTGGCCCTGAGGGAGGGTAGGAGGCCCATCCTAAGGGGGGGGGGGGATTCTCTGAGACACCTGAACTAACTGGAAAAGAAAGAACTTTTTAGCTCTTTCTTCTACCTTTGTGAGTCACCACCATACTCGATAACTCATCTCCCTGGCAGGCCCGTGACTTGTATTTCCGGAAGGAAGGAACACTGGAGTGGATTTTATGCAAAGACTGAAAGAGTTGGGACTGTAGTGGGAGAGGGAATGGGAACTCCATTACTCTGTTTTTCAAAATTAACACATCCTTCAGCTTGAGAACAGGAACTTTTTTCTTCCAAGAGAAAAGTTTCATTCTGGAAGGAAAGGAGTATCTTCCTTCCTTTAAGAACAATGAGGAAAGAAAGAGGGAGGAATATGGGTCACTTCCTGGGTTGTTTTGCTTTGAGCTGCAGCAGAGGGTGAGCAGGTGTTCCTCTCCCATCTTCTCACCAATGGCTTTACTTAAACAAAGGAGCCTGCGTACCCTGCCTAGGTTCCTAGTCAGTGCCCTATTCTGCTCCTAAAAGCTAGGCCATGTAGCCAGGTAAGCCACTAAGGAGGGTATACAGTTTCCTTCTGCTGTAAAGTAACTGGCCTCCTCCTTTCAAGCCCCATTTGGACTCCTAGGCTGTGGGAGGAATCAGTGGGCCTTTGGAAAGGGGCGTCTTCAATTCTCCCCCATCTCCATTTAATAGTCCTGAGACAGAGAAGATTCCTTGTGAGTGGTGGGGGTAGGGCAGAGGGTAAACTGATTACCCTGGATTGCCTCTCGCCTTACAAAAAGAGGGGCACAAGTCTTTGCTGCTGTCCCCCCCCTCCCACCACCCCCCTGCCTTTTTTTTGGTATGGGGGTGGGGATCTAACTCAGGACCTAGTTCTTGAAAGGCAGCCTTGTTGCCACTGAGCTAAATTCCCCCGCCCTTCCCTCTCTTTCTTGAGCCAGGTCTGCCCAGAGGCAACAAGATCCTGGGCCAGCTTTCTAGGACTTCAATTTAGGGTCACTTCTTTTTTTTTTTTTCCGTACTGGGGCTCAAACTCAGGTCCTTGAACTTGGAGGCAAGCGGCAGAACCACTGAGCTAAATCCCCGGCCCTAGGGTCACTTCTTGATGTAAGAGAGAGTGCTCCCCTTTCTTTAAAATGTAGTCCAGAGGAATGGGATTGGAGACCTCTCAGAAGAGAGTTCTGGGCCCCACACCATGGCTGGTGGCTGGGGTTGGCAGAAACTGTCTTCATGAAAAGTGGTCTCATCTACAGGGATCCCTGGAGGAATGAAAAACCCCCAAGGAGAAGCAGAGATTTCATTTCTGGAGTTTTGCCAAAGAAAGAGAAATAAGGAGGGCATGAATAGAAATAATTGCCTGGATAAATGGCCACAGGGAAGAGAGTGAAGATAGAGGTAATTTGGGCCTTAAACTTCATCTGTAAGACTCTCTGGGCTGTTTTCCCTCATCTTTTTAGGAACCCTTTCCCCCTCGACCGACCCCAACCCGACCGGAGGAAAGTCGCTTCCTCTGGGGTTAACACTTCTTGATGTGGGAGTGCATTATGAGGAAGTCCTGTGGGATCATTTCTGTTGGGTGTGGGAGACAGAGCTAGCTAACCCAAGGAAGGGGCTTCATTACTCCCCTTCACCCAGTTTTTCCCTATAACCAGTCTCCGTGCCTTTGGGAAAGACTTTTTGTTTTGTTTTTATTTTATTCGTAGTATTATATATTTTTGATATATAATAATTACATTCCTCCTGGGCAATTGTACATACAAATACTGCATTTTGATCATTTTACTCCCCTCTTGCCTTCCCCTCTCCCCCAGGAAATGCTTTTTGATTTCCAAATCTCATCTAAGACAATGACTGTCCAAAGTGCACAGGGCTTTTACGGGGTAGGGAGGGGGGCGGTAGGGTAGGGAAGTCTGTTGCCATCTGATGCCTGGCACAGTACAGAGGGGCAAGGCCTGGAGACAGGCAGTGGGCCATTGGATAAAGATGGTCTCACTTGCAGAGCAGGAGTCCTAGAAGCTGTGGACATTTATTATGAAAAACTGTCCCACGAAAATTGTCCCAGAGGGCAGGGAGGCTCTTCATTCCACCTTGGCACCTCTCTCACCATCAGAGGATCCATTACTCTTCCAGTAGAAAGCAGACTTTGTTTGGGTTGGAAGCACACCTCCAACGTAATTTAATCAGCATTGGACTTTGGCTCATGTAATCAAATATACATATACTTTCTCCTGCAGGAAGAAAAATAATTTCTCTGTAACTGGTATTGACTTGAAGTCATGTTAATCTCTGGAAAGCATCAGGTTTTTAAAAGGAAAGGTAAAATTAAAGGGAAAAGGCCTGCAGTGTTAGTGGTTTGCCTTGTCATTACTAAAAAGAGCCAGTTACCACCTAAGAAGGGGCAGAAAGACCACTATTACAGCTCAAATAATCATCCTACAATTGCAGATACCTCACTACAGTTTCCTCTGTGCCAGTAGCCTCCAAAATCCATATTGACAGGAAGGAGGTTGACTGCTCACAAGATCTGAGAATGTAATTTTATATTTATATTGCATTGGCATCCTCAAAGGAACATGTTTGGTGGGCCAGATTGCTCCCCTCTTTGGAGGGGTCACAGGCAGCAGGATCAAAATGAGGGACAAGCCTCATCTTTTAAGAGTGGTTGGTAGCCATTACCAGCTTGCTCTCCACTCAACTCCAGAATTTTAAGCTTGAAGCTCTACCTTAGAGCACCCCTCTGGAACAAGCTTGGGCTCCCCACCCCACAGGGCAAGGCTCTGGGCTTTGCCCAAATTGAGTCTGTTAGGGAATCTGTTGTAAACACAGATCCATTGATTTGCATTTGTCAGAGAGTAAAGTTAAACCAGTGAAAGAGAAGCCCTTACCCTTTTATGCAGGGCCAGGGAAACCTTTCATATTGATCCTATTGATCCAACCTTTCCCTTTAAGGAAACCACATAGTTAAAGACCCTCATTCAATAGATTTACCCTTCATGCTTGTGATATTCCTTTTAAGTGTTCTCATCTAGGGTAGCTGGGCATTAAGCCCACACTCCAAACCAAACAAAAATGAAAAGGGAATGGGAGGGGAGGGGGTCAGGAGGCAGAATTGTGGGAAGTGAAATTAAATCAAGCTGAAATGTGTAATGACCCAGTTGGGGATGTTATTCTCATTCTTCTAAGATGACATGCAGGGATAAAGACAAAAACAGATGCATTTAAAGACTTTTTCTTTTTTTTCTGTAAAGAAAAATTAATTTATGTGCATAAAGTAACAGTGTTTTAGGAACATCATTTTCTACTGTAAAATTCTTTCAATCAGCTTGGTTCATTTAAGCTGGATCACTAAAAGCAATAAGGCTGCTGGTTCATTTGTAGAAAATCAGGCATAGAATTGTCCCTAGAAGTGCAATTATTTGCACTCTGCATATGAGCATGGACACAAGTCACTCAGGAGGCTTAGAGCTCTGTGTTCTAGGCAGAAGCTAGTCCAAGGATAAGGTAGTTTTTTTTGTAAATTTAGGAGTTCTGAAATATTGCCCTGAAAATGAAGGTCTCCTTTGTCTCTAGAACTGTTGGCACAATCCATTTCATTTCTTCTCTGGCCCTTTTTTGCTCTGTAAATAACGTCCATTCATGATTTTTTTTTTCCCAACATGGTACATGAGCTATTCCTAATTGGCTATCTCTTGAGTTGTTTTGGGGCATTCATGTTTGTTTTATGTGATTGAAAAATATTAATGATTCCTTAGGTGAGCTAATGTATTTATCTGCTGAAGGAGTTCAAAGGGCAGAGTTCAGCTATCGTTCAGGTTAATTGAACAGGAAGCAGTGAACTCTCCAGGCTGAATTGAACAAGGGACCAGTCCCTTAAAATATCACACTCGGCAAACAC